AACGTATGCATGTCTGTTTGGCTTGGAGTAATTTCTCAGTGTAGTCTGGAGAAAAGAGTTCCCACGGAGCATCATCGTGAAAGGATGGTCATAGTGCATCTGGAATGATCTAAAATGAAAATCTGTATTACTAAGTATCCTAAGTCATTCCAGAGTTGTTGCAGTGACAAGCAAAATCAATCTCTCCACAGGTGTTCTTCTATCACTAGATTACTTCTACCTACATGGCTACATCCCCAACCTTCAACTTTCGGGACAGAACACCCACAGGGTGAAATAGAGCTTCTTTATTATCTTCAAGTCCCTAAATTTTAGGAGCCAATGACAATGCCAACTTATTGTAGATCACCATCCTATGCTAAACAAGCAATCTGTTCTTTCTCATCTCCTTTGAGTTTATACCTGCAGTACAATTAAGCAGATCAACTGAACTGTTCTTTACTTCTTTTCAGAATCCCAACTGCTGACCGAACAAAAGGTACCTCCTTGTTAGATACTTGACCACAATACAAGGTTTCATTTTCTCCAAATTAAATTTAGGAAATAAGCATGTTTTTTCACATACTGTTCAAAATTGAAAAAAATGAAACTATTTTGTGATGCATGAAATTGCTCACTAATGGTAGTTAAGTACTGGAGATGGGTTACTCATCATAAATTTTCTTGAAATAAGTCACAAACATGGCCTCTAAAGATGGGAGATTAAATAAGTTCATGCATTAAACTGAAATCCATATTAATTGATTGGGAACTCAAATACACAATCATTGACACACACGATCAAACTCAAATAGCTTCTTGATCACCACCATGCCCATGACCCACAGTAAAATATAACACATGCATGGTGGTATAGGACTTCTTAATCTACTATTTTGTTGAACTCTATAACCCAGCTGTTGTATGCAGTACATATGACTTCACAGCCGGAAAGTCCGGATTTGACTGGTAAAGCCTCAAATTCCTTCAGGGTCCTCTCTTTTCCGTCTCCGAGAATAGCCAACATAAAGAGATCTAGATCGCAGGTAATTTTTTATGAAAGACTATTTTCAGGAGTCTCAGGAAGAATAAATTCCATAATTATTAGTTTGCCCGAGTTTGGAAGAGCTTCCCAACAATTCTTCAGAATTTTCAAGCAATGTTCATACTCCAATCATGTAGTATCCACTGCAAGGTTTCAATATTTTATCAAAAAAAAACAACTATCACTACAGCACATTATGAAGAAAAAAGATGATGGAAGGTTTTAAGTGCATAATTCACTATAATGTCTCAGGCGTTCCATAAATATTATGAAACTTTCTTCATGGAATTCGTCAGAGTAAAAGATGTTGAGACATAGATATTATTCCAACCAAATCATACCAGCAATGGTGACTAATTAGCAATTACCTTCATAAAAATGGCATCCCCGCCTTTCGGAACACTCTGAAACATGTCTCCACCTGCAGCACCACAACCCTTTTATGGTTTAGTAATAACATTAACTTATCTGCGTTAATTAATTTATGGCTAGCTGGTGTACGTTAATGCTGCATCAATTTGCATCAAAGAATCATCAAGAGTTCTTGCCTTGGCATCGATCACATATTTAATTAGTAATGTAATGGTCTCTTACCCGGATATGAAGGGGCATCATCTATAACACGAGGCAAGTCGAAATTAATGCCCTTAATGTGAGGATTCTTGGAAGTGATAATATCAAGACTACTACCAATTCCACCATCCACATCAACTACCGCTTTCAAGCCTTCAAATCCTTTGTAAACATCAATAATTTTCTTCATGATAAAGGTCGCATGGCGAGACATTGCCTGATTGAAAATCCGACCGAGCCTCTCATCACTCCCGTAGTAATCAAATGCCCTGTTAAAAGGGATTCCACCTTCTAGTATGGCATCATTGAAGTGATACCTGGTAACCAGAGATCTAAAAATAAGCCTTCTGATAAAACAAACAGTATATAGATGATAGATAGAACAAAACGTGAAGATTTCATGACTATATATATAAGTACAGTACCAGCTCTCTATCGAGACCTTGTTGTGGTGCAGCAAGAACAAAGGACCATCAGACCTTCCATCCGGATTCTGATTTCTGAACAAGGAATTTGCAAACGGGTGCAGCAGCGTACGCTCTCTCAACTTGACCATTATCTCCTCTTTTAACACAACATTTTAGTACATCATAGCACAGCACGAGCCGTAGCATCCTGTCAAGCATGAGAGGTGCGTCGGGGTTCTTGGTGGGGAGTATACTTGCAATCTCCCAAGGAGAGAGGAAAACACCGTCACCTGAGGCGGAGATGATGCCTATGACTTTCAGCTCGATGGCCAATTTCAGGACCATTGGAAGAACGGCAGCATTTGCTAACCTGATGGCTAGCTTGCCCACTTCTTCTTCTTCTTGCGACATGTCAAATGTGGCTTACAAATGTTAGCTACTTTTCCTGTTATAGCTACTTCACTCAACTCCCACCTCATCGAAATCTGCGAATCCTGACCCAACTTGCTAAAAAACTTTTAATACTGCTGTGTGATTTGTGATTTTATAATATCAGTTCTTAGTCACCTAGAAGTTTTCATTGTTTTGATTTACTCAAAAATAAAAACACTTAATTTCCAATGTCTCCAGTTCTATTTGTAATTATTTAATAAACTTTATGTTTGACCTATTGAATATTTCATTTTAATCAAAACAAGTTCAAGTACAAATTCTAAACATAAATGAAGTTCAATTTGGTGGATCAAATTCTAGAATTGGGCTTGAACCATTCGGCAGCCCAACAATTTGGTTTCAGGATCAAATTCTAGAATTGGGCTTGACTTGAAATACATAGAAGCCTACTTAACTCACTTGTTATCATTTGCCAAGAGCGTTTATTGTTACTGTAAAGTTTGTTTAATGCAAAAAATTCCTCTGCTTCTCACGTTTGATTTCATAACTGTAATAAAAAAATAAAAAAAATAAAAAAAATAAAAAAAAAGTTATCTGTGAAGATGTGAGATAGACTGAAGAGAGATCTACTCCATGTTATATACTATGCACAAACAACAGTCCCTCCAATTGACGCAATAACCATCAATCCACACATCTATCTGCACACACTTGAACCTACTCACACCGGCTAACCCTTTTGATATTCGCTGTTAATGACCAACTTACTGCGAAAGCTCCTTCTTCTAGCACGTCTTAGTTTTCACGCACTAGAAGCTTTTCACTGCTGACTGTGTACGGTTCCTTAAATCACTAAACTCCAGAGCTCCTTCCATTATGTAGACTCCCCTGCAACTTGTTGTTTATCCCTTAGGAAACATGTCATGCCTGAATTTATGGTTTCAAGCCAAAAAAAAAAAAAAAAAAAAAAAAAAGAGAGAGAGAGAGAGATGAATATTACATTAAGAAAAATAGATGGAAAAAGGTTTGGTTGGGTTTGTTGGTGTAAAATTGTTTTTCATTTATTTTCAACCAAAAAGACCAGATTTGTGGTGGAAATCAACCCAAACCGCAGTTTGAGCACCTTGCAGACCAACAAATTGTTTTTCATTTGTTTCCGGCCAGAAAGACCAGGTTTGATCGCACTCAATTTCATTAATGATAATTGATTTGCTTTTTGTATGGAATAAGAACTTTTCTTTCAAATTCTTTTTTGCTTTTGAATCGATTCAAGTTCTCGAGATTAGGAAAGAATAAGAATATTTGCGAAATTAGTCTGCATAGTGTAAGAATTAAATATAATTCTAAAAGATTTTATTGGGATATTGTATTAAGTAATGTGATGATTTAGATAATTGGCGGAACAAATTAGGACTGTAAACGAGCCGAGCCGGCTTGCGAGCCGGCTTGGCTCGGCTCGATAAAAGCTCGTTTAGAGCTCGGCTCGATAAGGCTCGGTTCGACTCGACTCGAACTCGGTTCGTTAACCGAGTCGAGTTCGAACACAGTGAAGCTCGGCTCGTGGGCTCACGAGCTTGGCTCGGCTTGTGGGCTCGTGAGCCTGGCTCGGCTCGGTTCGATTAAGCACTGTACACTTAATAGGGTATTTTGGTGATTTTTTAAACTATTAGGTATTAAACTGATATTTTTCAGTGAAAAAAGTTTTAAAAAATGACAGTTTTCCCCCCTAAAGTGCAAATTTGAAATAACATGATACACCAAAACAGAGTGTCAATTACTCAATTTCAGTTCCCCATCCCAGTTGCCCTAAATCCCAAATCGCAATCAAAGACCCCTAAATCCCAAATCGCGAACTAGACAATCTGAAATCGTTAATCTCCTAGGAATGTTATTTGTATATATTCAGAACTGTTTTTTGATTTTGTAAGGTAATAGACATTTTGTAATGTTTAAAACTATCATGGTTAATTCAACATTGGATGTAAATATGAAATGCTGTACGCAAGCAGATTGCTATAAAAAAGGGGAACTTGGCTCGATCAAACTCGGATAAATAGTGGTTTGATCGAGCCTGGCGAGCCTCAAAATTGAAACTCGAGCTCGAGCTCGGTTGAGCTCGACAAGGCTCTCGAGCTCGACTCGAGCTCGACCGAGCTCGAGCTCGAGTCTCAATTTTGAGACTCGCCAGGCTCGAGCTTGAGCTCGAGCTCGACACTGTTGTAAACGAGCCGAGCTCGATAAGCCAAAAGCTCGACTCGGCTCGGCTCGTTTACACCCCTAGAACAAATAGCACCGCTCAAAAGAACATTAATCAAGAAATAACTTTTATTAAAAGCCATGGGTTACGGTTTCATTTTCCAAATCACTGTTAGGTAGGTTTTATAACATTATTTCATGTATCAAACTAAAACATATTGTTTCACCCTCGAACTCAAATTCACAATATTAACACAATCAAAATCAACGCAATGACCCGCAAAGATCAATAACACGTGGTGCTTTAAAGACTTAAATCTGCTATTTTGTGGAACTCCATAACCCAGCAGTCGTTTGCAGAACATATGACTTCACATTCGGAAAATCTGGATTTCACTGCTAAACCCTCAAACTCCTTCAGCGTCCTCCCTTTTCCTCCTACGAGAGCAGCCAACATAATGAGACCTAGATCGCAGGTATTTTGAATAAAGACTATTATCAGGAGTCTCAAGAAGAATAAATTCCACAATGATTACTTTGCCAGAGTTTGGAAGAGCTTCCCAACAATTCTTCAGAATTTTCAAGCAGTGTTCATCACTCCAGTCATGTAGTATCCACTGCACTTTATGAAGAAAAAAAACAAATAATGGAAGGTTTTAAGTACATAATACAAAGAGAAAAGAAGATATTCACTATGAAGTCTGAGGCGCCCTATACATATTATGAGATTGACTTCATTTTCCTTAAAGATACTAAAGAATTGGTCAGACGACTCTATAAAGATATTAAACAATCAAATTATTTACCAGAAATGGTGGAGCTAATTAACTTCATAGAAATCGCATCCCCTCCTTTCGGAACACTCAGAAACATATCTCCTCCCACATACACTACACCTGCATCACCACAAGCTTTTCGGTTAAGTCACAGACTCATAACATCAATTTATCTACGTTAATTAATTTATGGCACCATCGATCACATATTTAATTGTTGTCATGGTCTCTTACCTGGATATGAAGGGGCATCAGCTTTAACATGAGACAAATCGAAATTAATACCTTTAATGTGAGGATACTTGGAAGTTATAATATCAAAGATTAAATATACCAATTCCACCACCCACGTCAACTAACGATTTCAAGCCTTCAAATCCTTGCTAAATATCATTAACTTTCTTCATGATCAAGGTGGTGTGGCTAGACATTCCCTGATTGAGTGTCCGACCAAACCACTGATCACTTCCGTACTAATCTAATGCTTTCATCCCATGTGCCCTGCTAAAAGGGGTTCCACACCTTCTAGTATGGCATCATTTAAGTGATACCTGATAATTATAAGCCTTTTGAAAGAACAAACAGTAGATAGATAATAAAACGTGTATAATTCATTTTAATAACTCAATTATTGTGATTATTCCAACTTCAGTCTTCAGCAACTTTTCAAATTTAATTATTTATCTTTTAATTTTGAGCCCAAAGATATAGAATTGATACAAAAGAAACATAAATGGAGCGATACGGTCATGTTTTCAGAGTTATGTGCTATGTGTCCCTAACAATTAGCTATATAAAATATATAGAGTTGATACTATTATATATTAAGTAGCTAGGGGTTGTGATTTCTGGTTATCCATCTACTGTACAAAGTTGGTTGATATTACACACATTATGTTCCATATAAAGATTATTAGTTGATATCAATTGATCAGAGCACAAGGCGGGACAGTGGATTTAACATATAATATAGACGGAGATGAAAATGCGCCGTCGCTGGAGGCGAAGATGATGTCCATGATGTTCAGCTCGATAGCTGATTTCCGGACCATTGGATATACGGCAGCATTTGCCAGCCTGATGGCTTCTTCTTCTTCTTGTTGCGACATGTCACGTGTGGTTTACAAGAGTTCGCTACTTATCCACTTACAGTGAGATATTTTATTAAGTGTATAAAAAAATAAAAATTCATAGCTCTTCTTATTTTTTAACCCAACATGCCAAATCGGGGTTTGTCTTGTTGCAGTCAGATACTCAAACTAATCTGACGGGCCAAAAACTACATTGTTAGTCGATAGCTTTTTATATGAATCTGCCTACAATTCACTTACTTCACTCAACTCCCTATCTCATCAAAATCTGTAAATCTTTCCCCAAGTTACAAAAAATCTATTAACAAGCTATTATAGTCAAATTTATCCTCTCTACGTACATTGTGCTCGGTGAATAACATTCCCACCCTCAAAGTTTGGAGAAATGACGGTCTCCCCTTCTTCCTCAAATCTTTTACTAAACAAGGAATTTTTTTGGGTTTTCCTGTTTAATGTGAAAGAAATTTAAGTTTGGCATATTAACTTAAACTGTAGAAACTTTAAACTCTTGAAGTTTATTATACTTGGAGTTGGAGACATAACAAAGTCAACTACTATCAGTTCATCAGATCCCATAATTCCAACTTATGACATACTGTATATAGTTTTACAAAAACTCTTTCGACTGTATTTTTACAATATAACAAAACTTTTCTTCTAATTAATTCTCATGTTTAATTTTATATATATTTGTAACATAAAAACAAAAGGTTATATGTGAACATAAGATATTTGGTGCCCTTATCAATGTTGAATTGAGAAAGAAATGTGAAGGGACTGAAAAAAGTGTTAAGAGTTACCGACCACTTCAGTAATAAGGAGCTATGTAGTCGATTTGGATCTATTCTATGAAAAAGAATTCTTCAAGTAGTTAATTTCTAATTGGGTTCGGGCTTAGGAAAATGGATCTTTATAATATTAAGTTTTATTTTTTAAATATAGTAGATAAACTTATTTTTCTTTTGTATGAGTGTAATAACAAATTATAAGATAAATACAGTCATTGTAACAATAGAGGTGAGACATTATTTTAATAATATAAACTCTCTTAAACTTAATATGTTAATTAGGTGAATTAAGATAAATTGTACGTATTTTTTTTTCTTTTTACTTATGTGTGTTTACTTGTTTAATTTTCGCATTACTCCATATTGTTTTAGAGAGATACGGCTTTAAGAGTTCTATTTAATATTTTTAAAGAGATTGGATACTCTTTAAATAAAATATAATAAATTTATCAATCTATTTTGTCAATGAATTTTATCAAGTGTGGCAAGAAATAGAAAAAACTACCAAGACATGCCTTTTTTACTGCTTCACAAAGGAGACATCTGCGTACAGACATGGTAATTAATATTATATTTATTGTAAACCACACACTCTCAGGATTAATCGCCTATTTTTATTACTTAACAATGAGGTCCCTGGAATTCAAACCTTTATTATTACTGGTCACCAACATGAGCCAGAAAAAGAGAGAACACTTTGTTTTCACTATTGAGAAGGCTTCAGAATGTGCTCATTTACGGAACTCCAAAACCGAGCTATTGTATACAGGGCATATGACTTCACACCTCGAAAATCCGGATTTCAGAGCTAATGCCTCAAACTCCTTAAGTGTCCTCTCTCTTCCTCCTGGGTGCACAACCATCATTAACAGATCTAGCTCGCACGCAGTGTTTGATGAAACAATATTTTCAGGAATCTCAGGAACAATCAGTTCTGTAATGATTACTTTCCCAGAGTTTGGAAGAGCTTCACAGCATTTTTTGAGAATTTTCACGCAATCTTCATCATCCCAATCATGTAGAACCGACTGCAATTAAGTTTCATCTATATATATATATATATATATATATATATATATCAACAAATTAAAACAACTACACACTCGCGTATATATGAAGAATAAACTATTTACGCACTTACCTTCAAGAAAATGGCGTCGCCTTTTGGAACTTTTTTGAACATATCTCCACCAACATGCTCAACACCTACATCCATCACCAAAACATCATATTATCATCTGATAAGCAAATAAATAAAACTTGTGAGCCGTTCATCTTAGCTGATCTAGCAGTGATAAGATGAAAAATTTGAAGGTAGTTACGTTTGATATCAATTCAACATTTTTCATCATTGATGAATTTACAAAGATGAATAGTTCACTAGAAAGTCAAAGACTTATGTCATAATATAAGAAATGCAATTATACGAGTAGGATTACGAAGATATATACCTGATATTGGAGGTGCATGAGCTACGACACGAGGCAAATCAAAATTAATGCCTTTAATGTGAGGATACTTGGAAGTGATGGTACCAAGATTAGCTCCAATTCCACCACCTACATCTACTAACACTTTGAGGCCTTCATTTTGAAATCCTTTGTAAACATCAACCATCTTCTTCATGATCAAGGTTGTGTTGTCTGACATTGCTTTGTTGAATAACTGGCCACTGTTTGGATCCTTTTTTATATATTCAAATGCAGATCTCAGTCCAAGTGCCCTACTGAAGGGGGTTCCACCTTCTAGGATACTATCACTTAGGTGATGCCTGACAACAAATTAAATTACCGAAAATTTAACTCAACTCTGAAACAAAAATAATAATTAAATTCTAGATCTCAAAAGTGAAAAGTACCAGCCCTCCATGGTGACCTTGTCGTGTTGCAACTGCAACAAACTAGCAATCGACCCTTCATCTTCATTCTTAACAAAGAACTTGCAAATGGGTGCAGCAGCGTACAGTCTTTCAACTTGTCCATTCTCTTCGTTTCTAACCGTGCATTTGAGTATATCATGGCTGGCCAAGAGCCGTAGCATACGATCAAGCAATACTGGCGCCTCAGGGTTCTTGGTGGGCAGCCTACTTGCAATGTCGGAAAGTGAGAGGAAAACGCCGTCACCGGAGCCGGAGATTATGTCTATGAGGTTGAGATCGATGGCTGACTTCATGACCATGGGAAGAACCGCGGCGTTTGCTAACCTGATGGCTAGCTCGCCCACTTCTTGTTCTTGCGACATGGCTTTTACAAGTTTGAAGATAATTGAAATCTCTGCACTTAATTATTTTTTCCACTTCGCATCGTAAATTAACTTCTATCTAAATCGATATTTATATTACATTAATGCTAATATCATAGGTAATTAATTTATTCAATAAATCAAATAACACGTTGTTGAATTTAATATTTCTATTTTGAAATCTTTTTTAGTCTGAACTTAATGCATTGAGGACTGACGAGACAAATCAATACACAGTGCATCACGTAATTTAATTTTTTAACTTTCAAAGAGTAAAATGACTTTTTCCCACCCAAATAATGGCTAGCTGAATTTTTCAATTATATACTTTTAAAATATTATTTTATTATCTAAATTTATATTCTGTTTTCAATTCCAATGTCATTGCGACCTCACATTATCACTATTCTCTTCTCCGATCATCACTCACTAAAATTCATCAAACCCTACTTCTATCAACCCCACCAATCACTAATAATTGAATGATTAGAGCTTGTACGACCATCTCTCTCTATTCAAATTTTGATAAATTCCTACTATTAAAATTCAACCTTTTATTACTAAAAGACTCATCGACTCCCTTCTCTTCTTCAAAAGTCTTAATAATTTGTATTAAGTTTATTATTTATTTATCATCAGAATATAAATTTGAGTAATAAAATAATATTTTAAAAGTTTATTTATGAATAATAAAAAGCTAAGAGAAAAAAAATTTGGAAAGTAATAACGCAGTCTCCACATCATCCAGTTTAAGACAGACTTTGTCATGTCAAAGATTTAGAAAATTTTAAAATAAAGCACATATCAAATGTCTTTTCCATAAGTAATAATTTAAATTTTACATCAATCTTTAAATAAAAAACGATTATATCAATTAAATTTTACATACTACAAAGAAAAACAATTAATTCAAAGAGTCTCCCCTTAGAATGAACATTTTCTACTGATAATGTCAGAGGAGAGAAAAATTGAAACATGAGAAAATATTTCCTGATGTACTAGATAATAATGTAAATCATATCGTATTCTCTTCCCACACTTAACTTCTAAAATATATTATTTTTTTAAAATTTAAAATAGTCCAATTAACTTTTTTTCTCACTCGAGAATTCTATTATGTAATATCCTCTCCGGACTCTTAACTCTCTCTTAAAATGAAATAATGCACTAAAAAAATATTTTCTACTTGAATCAATCTATGAGGAGCAAAACCTTTAGCAAATATGCCAGAAAACAACAATCAATCTACAAGAGACACAAGCAATTTTACGTAGAAAAACCTCTTCAATGTAAAGAGATTAAAAAAATCATGGGATCGAATGATCCACTTAAATCCACTATAATAAAAGAGTGTTTACAACAACCACAAATCATTAATAATATTCTACACTAAATTTAGAACTTTATCACAACTCTAACAAAGTGAAATACACAAAAGAGTTACGAAAATATAAGAGTAAAATCACCAACAAAACACCCGAAATGTAGGTTGTATAACTCCAAACTCAGCTGTTAAAATCGAAAACGAATCGTCCATATTGAAAAGCCAAACGTCCTCTACATTCTAACCAAAAATTAGATTGATCAGACTAGAGATGACCTTCCGATCGTCAGGTTAAATAAGGACAAACGAACTGAAAATTGTGCAACTCAACTCTTTGATTTGGCTGTCTTTCTATAGGCAAAACTCCACAAAAAGGATGACTATCATGAAACTGGCCGTTGCATGTGAAGATCTTGCCGTCAACAACAACGCTCTTAAATTTGAACAAAAACGAAGCAAGATTCATCGTTGGATCGCGCCGAAATAACCTGGTGTGGCTGCCTCTCTCTCACTTCTACAGATTTTTGTTGCTATGAACGATACCCACATTTTTTCACTATGTACCCACTCAGGAAAAAAAAAAGGGAACAAAGTTGATCCCTTTTTTTTTTTTTTTTTTTTCTTGGCCTTTAGGATTTTGGGTCATCCTCCACATAAAGAAAAAC